ACTTCTGCCTCCTGGGTTCAGGCGATTCTCCTGCCTCAGCCTCCCAAGTAGCTGGGATTACAGGCCTGCGCCACCATGCCTGGCTAATTTTTTTGGATTTTTTAGTAGAGATGGGGTTTCTTCATGTTGGTTAGGCTGGTCTTGAACTCCCTCAAGATGACCTCAGGTGATCTGCCTGCCTTGGCATCTCCAAGTGCTGGAAATTACAGGCATGAGCCACCGCACCCAACCTTTATTACATACTTTCTAACCTACTTAGCCTGATTTATATATACAAATGAAGCAAGAGGTATAAATTAACATAAGCCACCTTTTGGTTAGCAAATCTAGTGCCGTAAGATACTGAGAAACTATTGCATCCTGATGATTAACGTCTCTCTGGAGATTATGCAATGTATTTAGGAGTGCATTTTCAAAAGCCTTATCATTCCAAAGTGGTTTCTTAATTGATTTTTGGTAAGTTAAGTAACCTATTCTGAGGCCACGAAGGCAACATCAAGAAGTTCGTGTTCACTACTCTTTTTATCTATAATTGTCAGGGAGCTACTCTTTTCCTCTAGATTCTTGAAATTCACCAATGTTTGTAGCCTGCAGGGAAGTAGCTTCTTTACAACCTGTAAGGCTGAGAGAATCTGTAAACTAAGAAACAGGAACCACACCAGTTTCCTGGGAAGACATTGTAGGTGTTAACTGCAGATATTAATTGCAATCTTTATTCCTTAATGTGAATTTGTCATACCTGATTAAGTAAAAGTTGTTCTCAAATACTAATGGCACTCCCACTATAGCCTTGGTTGTACTAGCAATCTGCCCATTTATATCCTATTAAAGGAAGCACTGATTCTTTTTTTTTTTTTTTTTTGAGACGGAATCTCCCTCTGTTGTCCAGGTTGGAGTGCAATGGCACGATCTCGGCTCACTGCAATCTTCAACTCCCAAGTTCAAGCCATTCTCATACCTCAGCCTCCTGCGTAGCTGGGATTATGGCACCCACCACCACAACTGGCTAATTTTTGTACTTTTAGTAGAGACGGGGTTTCGCCATGTTGGCCAGGCTGGTCTCCAACCCTTGACCTCATGATTTTCCCGCCTCAGCCTCCCAAAGTGCTAGAATTACAGGCCAGAAGCACTGATGCTTACTGACTCCACGAAAATAGCTACATTGGCTGGACCCAGTGGCTCACACCTGTAAGCCCAGCACTTTGGGAGGTCAAGGTGGGCAGATCACGACGTCAGGAGTTGGAAACCAGCCTGGCCAACATGGCGAAAACCCATCTCTACTAAAAATACAAAAATTAGCCAGGCGTGGTGGCATGCACCTGTAATCCTAGCTATTCAGGAGGCTGAGGCAGGAGAATTGCTTGAACCCAGGAGGCGGAGCTTGCGGTGAGCCAAGATCACGCCATTGCACTCCAGGCTGTGCAACAGAGTGAGACTCCATCTCAAAAGAAAAAAAAAAGGAGGGAAGGAAGGGGGCAAGGAAGGAAGGGGGAAAGGAGGGAAGGAGGGAAGGGGGAAGAAGGGAAGGAGGGAAGGGGGAAGGAGGGAAGATAGTTACATTACTATGAAAAGTAAAGGGGTTTGCTCAAGTATCTGTAATATCTGGCTATTCTCTTAGGACTTTTATAGATAGGCCAATCAATATTTTTCATATTTCCTATAAAATCACCATCTCCACCAATGACACTATCTACTTCCAAAATGTAATATTTTATATAATATTTAGAACAAGTAAAATTTAACTCAACGTATTTTTCTTTTTCTTTTTTCTTTTTTTGAGACGGAGTTTCGCTATTGTTACCCAGGCTGGAGTGCAGGCTGGAGTGCAATGGCGTGATCTCGGCTCACCGCAACCTCCGCCTCCTGGGTTCAAGCAATTCTCCTGCCTCAGCCTCCTGAATAGCTAGGATTACAGGTGCATGCCACCACGCCTGGCTAATTTTTGTATTTTTAGTAGAGATGGGTTTTCGCCATGTTGGCCAGGCTGGTTTCCAACTCCTGACGTCGTGATCTGCCCACCTTGACCTCCCAAAGTGCTGGGCTTACAGGTGTGAGCCACTGGGTCCAGCCAATGTAGCTATTTTCGTGGAGTCAGTAAGCATCAGTGCTTCTGGCCTGTAATTCTAGCACTTTGGGAGGGAAAGAGATGGCAGAGATCACCTGCTGATGACAAAATTAAATGACTCTGGTTAATGTATTACAGTAACCATCAATACCAGAATGAAACAGAATAGAATCCTCTATTGGAGTGTAATACGTAACTATTTCACAACAATCCTGGGGTCAAATATATCATGGTCTTTGACGGTATTGACAAATCTCAAGGTCCTTTTAATCCACCTGGTAAAGTGTGTGTTGCATTTGCTATTGGTTGGCAAGAGTATTTTAAACAGAAAAAAATTGCCCAGGTGTGGTAGCTCTCACCTGTAATCCCAATACTTTGGAAGGCCAAGGCAGGAGGATAGCTTGAGTCCAGGAGTTTGAGGCTGCAGTGAGCTAGGCTGGTGCCACTGCATTCCAGCCTGTGTGATAGAGTGAGACCCTGTCTCAAAAAAAGAGAAGAGGCATGGTGGCTCACTCCTGGAATCCCAATGCTTTGAGAGGCCAAGGTGGGTGGATCACTTGAGGTCAGGAGTTCACCAGCCTGTTCACCAAGATGGTGAAACCCCATCTCTACTAAAAATACAAAAATTAGTCAGATGTGGTGATGCACGCTTGTAATCCCAGCTACTTGGGAGGCTGAGGCAGGAGGATGGCTTGAACCCAGGAGGTGAAGGTTTAACTGAACTGAGATCTCTCCATTGCACTCCAGCCACGGTGACAGAGCAAGACTGTGCCTCAAAAAAAAAAAAAAAAAGAAAAAGAAAGAAAAAGAACTAATTTAGCTTGGCTAGATAATTAACAAGAATAAGAATGCAAATTAAAATTATTTTTTGGACGGGCGAAATGACTCATGCCTGTAATCCCAGCACTTTGGGAGGCCGAGGCAGGCAGATCACCTGAGGTCAGGACACCACCCTGACCAACATGGAAAAACCCCATCTCTATTAAAAATATAAAATTAGCCAGGCGTGGTGGTACATGCATGTAATCCCAGCTACTTGGGAGGCTGAGGCAGGAGAATTGCTTGAATCCAGGACACGGAGGTCGTGGTAAACCAAGATGGCACCGTGGGCAATAAGAGCAAAACTCTGTCTCAAAAAAAAGAAGAGAAAAAAAAGATTTTTAAAATAGAGATAGTGTTTCACCATGTTGGCCAAGTTGGTCTCAAACTCCTGATCTCAAGTGATCCACTCACCTTAGCTTCCCTAAGTGCTGGGACTGCAGATGTGAACCACCATGCCCAGCCAACAATGCAGTATTTTAAAATAAGCACGGCAGAAGGTAACATCATCATCATCATAAAAATGTAATAAAGCTCTTTTAGATTTGAAGAACGTTTGTTGATTGTTTCAAAAGCACTAAAAATTAACAGGTTCTCAAGAATATTCAGTTGACATAAGGCATCTCTGCTATCTTGGCAGATTACCCAAAAATAAGATAACTTTTTACTATCTTTGGTGAAAAAGAGGAAAAACTTCGAGACCAGAGGCCGGGCTCTGTGGCTCATGCCTGTAATCTCAGCACTTTAGGAAGCTGAGGCGGGTAGATCACCTGAGGTCAGGAGTTCAAGACCAGCCTGGCCAACATGGCGAAACCTCGTCTCTACTAAAATACAAAAATTAGCTGGGCACGGTGGTATGTGCCCGTAGTCCCAGCTACTTGGGAAGCTGAGACAGGAGAATTGCTTGAACCCAGGAGGCAGAGGTTTCAGTGAGCTGAGATTGTGCCACTGCACTCCAGCCTGGGTGACAGAGAGAGACTGTCTCAAAAAAAAAAATGTGGGGGCTGAGGTGGCTCCGGCCAGATGTCCTGGCGCTTGAGGAGGCAAGGCCATGAGTTCAAGGCCAACCTGAGCAATGTTACAAGCTCTCAATGATTACCGCCCACCCCAAAAAAAAAAAACTTTGAGACCAATTTCTTCTCTCCTTCATCACATATACTTTATTTATTTTAATATTTACATGTATATATTTAAACATATGCATATTGTTGTGCAGGAATGACACAAAATTTAAAAACAATTATTTATAAAGTTATATGAAGATATTAAGATTTTCAATCTTAGCTTTAAAAGATAATCTTATACTACAAGACAAAGTTGATATTTTACTGAATGTGCCTCTTTTTTATTTTATTTTTTTAATTTTTTGAAATGGAGCCTCACTCTGTATCCCAAACTGGAGTGTAATGGCTTGATCTCAGCTCACTGCACCCTCCACCTCCCAGGGTCAAGCAATTCTTCTGCCTCAGTCTCCTGAGTAGCTGGGATTACAGGCACCTGCCACCGTGCCTGGCTAATTTTTGTAGTTTTTAGTAGAGATGGGGTTTCACCATCTTGGCCAGGCTGGTCTTGAACTCCTGACCTTGTGATCCACCCGCCTCAGCCTCCCAAAGTGCTGGGATCACAGGCGTGAGCCACTGCGCCCGGCCTATTTTTTATTTTAGGAACCTCTGGAAGATGAATTTACCTCTTTATTGGCACTTAAAAAAAAAAAAAAAAGGTAAAAACTATGCTTGCTGACACAGTAATTGTTTCTACCTCTCTGAGTCTTTGTTTTTAAAAAGATATTCAATGTAACCAAAGAGTTCTCATTAACTAATGGAATACTCTATTATATTAGTCTAATATCTTAAAGTGTTTTGAGGATCTTGAAAATTATGTTTAACTTTTGATTACAAAACAACAAAATTACTGCTGATATTCAAAGTTTGGCAAAGAGATGACAGAAATTTTCCATGGATGTTGAAAGTGAAGTAATAGACTGGGCTCAGTGGCTCATGCCTGTAATCCTAACACTTTGGACAGGCCAAAGAGGGCACATCACTTGGGGTCAGGAGTTCAAGACCAGCCTGGCCAACATGGCAAACCCTGTCTCTATTAAAATACAAAAAATTACCTGGGCATGGTGGTGGGTGTCTGTAATCCTAGCTACTCGGGAGGCTAAGGCAGGAGAATCGCTTGAACTTGGGAGGCAGAGGTTGCAGTAAGCCAAGATCTCAGCACTACACTCCAGCCTGGGCACTGTCTCAAAAAAAAAGAAAAGAAAGAAAGTGAAGTAATAAAATCCAAATAATTTTCAGCATTTTCTGAAATTCACAGAGCCAATGTACTTCTTTTTCTATTTTATCAGCACTCTAGTTGTTATAATACAATTTAGTTGAGCACACATATTTACACTCTCATAAACTTAAATATTTTTGTGAAACAATGATAATTAGTCTAACCCATAAAAACAATTTCGAAATAGAAAGTTCAAATTTTGTGGTGTTGACTTTCTAAACAACACAAAACAAAAAACCCAAGTCTTACCTAAAATGAGATATACATTTATATTATACTCTACATTGTAGTAAAATCAAGATGAAGACATATAACTGCTTTTAAACCAAAATTATCAAATCTGTCTTACCTGTTTAAGAATTCACCTTTATTAAGAATATTAGCAAATGTAGATCCAGATATAATTCTGCATTTATTTATCAAATATTAAAAATATTTTATAGACGTTTTCCTTAGCATATTTTCATGACTGTATATTGATCATATTTTCTTATTTTTTGTATTCTTACTGCTCTGGCATTTGAGGCTTTGATCCTAAGGAGACTGCTCTTCCCAGGGCTTGCTAATGTTTAACATACAAATGTTTAATATACAAACCGATCAACCCAGAGCCCATCCCAATCATCTCCTTTTTCAAACTCTCACATATCAGGCCAATATTCTTCCCATCCTAAATCACTCCAAACCTAGGCACAAACCCCTATGCCCCAGAGTCCCCTGAAATTATTCAAACCATCCAGTCCTAAACTTTCTCAGTGTACCTACCCTGCCCGGCTCATTCAGTCCTGTGAAAACCCCAGTTAAAGTGTGTGGGCCATGCTCCCCACTTCTGCCTCCTGATCAGCCTTGGTGCTTCCCCATGCCTCTCTGTGTGGCAGGCCAACTGTCTCTAGGCATCTGTGAGGGCCTCAGAAGCAAAGCCTCTTTCTGACTGTGAAAGTTGCAGATGCCAGTATGAAATCACTTTTGTCAGACTCAGACAAAATTAAGCCAGGAAGGCATGAAGGAGAAGGGGCTTAGCTTCCATGTCTGAGATAAGAACTGTTTCCAGCCAGGCACAGTGGCTCATGCCTGTAATCCCAGCACTTTGGGAGGCCAAGGCAGGTGGATCACCTGAGGTGGGGAGTTCAAGACCAGCCTGACCAACATGGAGAAACCCCCATCTCTACTAAAAATATAAAATTACCCGGGCATGGTGGCGCATGCCTATAATCCGAGCTACTCCGGAGGCTAAGACAAGAGAATTGCTTGAACCTGGGAGACAGAGGTTGCAGTGAGCCGAGATCATGCCATTGCACTCCAACCTGGGCAATGAGAGCAAAATTCAGTCTCAAAAAAAAAAAACAAAAAACAAAACTGTTTCCAAGGACTTTCTGAAAACCCCACTAGAAATCTTTTCACATCTCCTACTTTGCACAGCTTCTACTTTTCGCATGGATTCATATATTTCTATGACAAGATTTATCACTGGACATTCATTAGGACTACAGTAACTCAGAAAAGGTGCTCTCAAAAGGACACTTACCCAGTAATGGCATCTCCACCAATGAATGGGCAACAACTCTGTCTTTGAGCCTCTGGAACCAATAAACTCTGCTTTTAAGCAGCTTATGGGAACCTCTCCCTTTTTGCCAATAAAGGTTTCCCTTTACCCTTTCCTCACCCGATGCATCTGTAGCTTACCATTCCATGCACCCAGGTTATAATCCTCATTTCTCATTCCTGAATAAACTCAACATATTTTGAGATATTTTTCTCCAATGTCTTTTTTTAGGTTGACATGATATTCTCCCACCCTTCTTTCTCCTGCTTCTCTTTCTTCCCCAAGGCAGACCATAGAAATGAGATTCCCTCTTCCACAAGGTGGGTCATAGAAACCAGAACCCCTCTTCCCCAACACCAGCCATAAAACCTAGAAATAGTAATCCTATCTTCCCCCATCTTTCCATGTAAACACTGAACATAAAGGAATTCTCTGATCTAGGCTGGGCACGGTGGCTCACCTATAATCCCAGCACTTTGGGAGGCCGAGGCAGGCAGATCACCTGAGGTTGGGAGTTCAAGACCAGCCTGACTAACATGGTGAAACTCCCTCTCTACCAAAAGTACAAAAAGTAGCTGGGCATGGTGGTGCATGCCTGTACTCCCAGCTACTCTGGAGGCTGAGGCAGGAAAATTGCTTGAACCCAGGAGGCAGAGGTTGCGGTGGGCCAAGATTGCGCCATTGCACTCCAGCCCAGGCAACAAGAGTGAAACTCCATCTCAAAAAAGAAAAAAAGGAATTATCTCACCTATGTTGTCCGAAAGTAGATTGTAAGTAAGACTTTGATTCTGGCAGGGGTGCTGACCTATACCCATGAAGAAGAAACATCACACAGGGAGGCCAAGAAGAATCCAAACAGACAGGCCTTGCTGAGTCTCCTCAATTAGTCAGTTGCTATTAGATTGTTCCCTTTTGGCCGGGTGCAATGGCTCATGCCTGTAATCTCAGCACTTTGGGAGGCCAAGGTGGGTGGATCACCCAGGTTGGTGTTCAAGACCAGCCTGGCCAACATGGTAAAACCCCATCTCAAAAAAAAAGATTGTTCCCTTTCTTTCCAATCATATTTCTATGTGACTGAAAATTTTTGATCAAATTTAAACATAGAAATGGACAGTTTTCCCTTGGATCTTCTTTGAGTCTTCATTTCTGAAATCCATCGTAAATGGTTAAATAAATATGTTATATTTTCTCTTGTTAACCTGTCTTTCGTTATTGAAGTTCTGATTATGATCTTTATGATGGGAGAGAAATGGTATCAGACCTTTTCACTCCTATAGTTCAGAGGTATTTGAAGATGCATGTGCCCAAAATTCAGGCCCAAAAATATTTATCTTGGCCTCTTGATCACAATGAACTGGAATAATCTAAAGGATTCACTAAAGATGTATAGTAGGAGTCAAATAAACCTCAACTTTGTCTTTACTCCACTCTACCAGCTGTGTGCCCTGAATGCCTACCTTTTATTTCCTGGTTTGCAAAATTAGGACTAACAATGCCCAAGGCTGGATTGCACAATAGACAGACATATTTAGGCACCAGTAAAGCAAGGGCACCAGTGTTGGAAATAGATGCTCAGTGCCACAATGAAAAATCGCACTGAGACAAAGGATCTTTCAGCAGCACAATTTTTACTTCCTGGACTGCAGGAAGGGTACCCTCGATAGCCATCATGTCACATTGCATTGCTGAAAGATCCTTTGTCTCAGTGCTAATTTTTCTTTGCAACACTGAGCATCTATTTCCAAGAACCAAAAAATGGCTTTTGAAAAAGTTTGCTGTTTGATAGAAAAAAACCCAAAACACCAAAATAGTCTTAATTGTCTGAGGCGTTTGAACCAGAGTGCCTCCATCTTCAATAGAGGCTGGGTAAAATAAAACCAAGACCTGCTGGGCTGCATTCCCAGTAAGTTAGGCATTCCTAGCTGATTAAACAGGTTGTGGTAAAGAAGCTGGCCACGTCCCACCAAAACCAAGATGATGACAAAAGTGACCTCTGGTCCTTATATACTTACTGCTCATTATGCACTAATTATAGCACATTAGCATACTAAAAGACACTCTCACCAGCACCATGACAGTTTACAAACGCCATGGCAACATCAGGAAGTTACCCTATATGGTCTAAAAGCAAGAGGAGCCCTCAGTTCCCGAAATTGCCCACCTCTTTCCTGGAAAATTCATGAATAATCCACACTTTGTTTAGCATGTAATCAAGAAATAACCATAAAAATAGCCAATCGGCAGCCCTTGGGACTGCGCTGCCTGTGGAGTAGTCACTCTTTTCTTTATTTCTCTAATAAATTTGCTTTCACTTTATGAATTTGCCTCAAATTCTTTCTTGCACAAGATCCAAGAATCTTCTTGGGGTCTGGATCGGGACTCCTTTCCAGTAACAACTTAAGAAACTTACATTTTCTTATATTTAGTTTATGTATTTTGTGTTTTTAGTTTATGAACAGGAGGTTGACCTTGTGGGGAAGAAAATATTTTCCTCTACTATCTTAGGTTTTGTAATTGGGGGCCTAAAATTAAACTGACAAAAAACAGATTCACAAGAGAAAAGATGAATTTTAATCATGTGCAGGCATTTATGAAGAAATGCAACTGAAAGGCATGGATAGACTTTAGGGCTTTATACCACCCTCATAGGTGACAGGGAGTGGGAAAAGGGTACTTACTAGGAAAATAAATGACTTCTTATGTGAGGGGAGGAGAAAGAACACTTATGGAAAAACAAATGACTTTTAAGAAAGATAAATGGGTCCTTAGGAGAACAGATGGAGATATGATAGTTTTCTGATAATGTCTCTTTGGGTGTGCTGCCAAATTCTCTCTCAAGATTAGAGTTGTTCCCAGGGAGGAGATTTACGACAGCTGAGTTCTTTTGGGAGCCTCTGCCTTTAGGTAGATAAGAGACTTCAAGACCTCAAATGCTTTCAGCTCATAATAATTTTTAAGCCACAATGGCTTATTCTGGACACCTTCAATTGTCTCGAATCTCAGGGCCTCCAAAGTTCTTGATAATGATGAGTGCTCTTTGTCTATGGCTGGGTGTTACAGGGATAGGCTACTTGAGAATTTGGGAAGGAAGAAACTAAGATTGCTCTAGCTGGGTATGGTGGCTCACACCTGTAATCCCAGCACTTTGGGAGGCTAAGGTGGGTGGATCACGAGGTCAGGAGTTCAAGACCAACCTGGCCACCATGATGAAACCCTGTCTCTACTAAAAATACAAAAATTAGCCAGGCATGGTGGCATACGCCTATAATCCCGGCTACTTGGGAGGTTGAGGCAGGAGAATTGCTTGAACCCGGGAGGCGGAGGTTACAGTGAGCTGAGATTGTGTCACTGCACTCCAGCCTAGGCAACAGAGCAAGACTCGATCTCAAAACAAACAAAAAAAAAGATTGCTCTAGTT